GTAACTTACGGAGTTTTATATTTTTAACTTATGCAGTTTTTATATTGTTAACTTAGGGAGTTTTACATTGTTAACTTATGGAGTTTCTATATATAAAATCTCCATATATTGTTAACTGAGTGAGTGAGGGAGTTTTTATATTGTTAACTTATGGAGTTTTTATATTGTTAACTTATGGAGTTTTTATATTGTTAACTTATGGAGTTTTCATTTTGTGAACTTAGGAAGTTTTTATATTGTTAACTTATGGAGTTTTTGTATTGTTAACTGAGGGAGTTTTTATATTGTTAACTTAGAGAGTTTTTATATTGTTGACTTATGGAGTTTTTATATTGTTAACTGAGTGAGTTTTTATATTGTTAACTTAGAGAGTTTTTATATTGTTAACTTAGAGAGTTTTTATATTGTTGACTTATGGAGTTTTTATATTGTTAACTGAGTGAGTTTTTAAATTGTGAACTTATGGAATTTTTATATTGTTAACTTATGGAGTTTTTATATTTTTAACTTATGGAGTTTTTATTTTGTTAACTTATGGAGATTTTATATTGTTAACTTAGGGAGTTTTTATATTGTTAACTTATGGAGTTTCTATATATAAAAACTCCATATATTGTTAACTGAGTGAGTTAGAGAGTTTTTATATTTTTAACTCATGGAGTTTTCATTTTGTGAACTTAGGGAGTTTTTATATTGTTAACTTATGGAGTTTTTGTATTGTTAACTGAGGGAGTTTTTATATTGATAACTGAGTGATTTTTGATATTGTTAACTTATGGAGTTTTTATATTGTTAACTTTGGGAGTTTTTATATTGTTAACTTATGGAGTTTTTATATTGTTAACTTATGGAGTTTTTATATCGTTAACTGAGGGAGTTTTTATATTGTTAACTTATGGAGATTTTATATTGCTAACTTACAGAGTTTTTATATTGTTAACTTATGGAGTTTTTATATTGTTAACCTATGGAGTTTTTATATTGTTAACCTATGGAGTTTTTATATTGTTAACCTATGGAGTTTTTATATGGTTAACTTATGGGGTTTTTATATTGTTAACCTATGGAGTTTTTATATTGTTAACTTAGTT